AAAAAAAGAAACAATCAGGCCCATCTTCAAGGCGTGCTCTAAAAGCTTGCTGGATGCCTGTGGCATGAAAGGACAGCGTTGACCAATGGGACGGGTCCCAACTGCTGGACAGTAGGAGTTGATTCCTGGTCCATTCTCTTCAACCATCGTTCTTTTCAAACACCGGATCCGTTTCCCTGGGTGTTTCATTGTTTCCTGAAAAGAAGGATCCATGGAATGGGGAAGGTAGCCCCCGAATTTTCCTGGGCCCCCGAATTTTAAGACGCACCCTAAGCTTCACGCCTCCAACGCACACCCCAAGAGGACCCTCCAAACAAGAATCCCAACCCAGGGGTGCACAACTGAACTTCCAGGACCCTCAAAGCAGTCGAAACGGACCCTTGGGATATCTTACCGTATTTACCCAGACATGGAAGAAAAGGGGTGCTTGGTATAATTGATGTCCTGGAGTCTCCTTCTGACCCGAAAACAAAATCTTTGGGTGACCCCTATCCAAGGATCACAAGGATACTGTGAGCCATGTTCCCCCTCTGAACACAACGAGAAAGCAGACCTACCCCCTACATGAGTGTGATACATTACGATTGTTGCTCCTTGACTAAAAATGGGATCGGCATTTACCCTGAAAAAATGCAAATTTCCCAAACAAGTGCCCCTAAAACAGGCTGCCTGGATCGCCAGTTGCGATCGCCTTTTCTCCATCCACTCCAAACCCCAAAAACCGAGCGCAACAGTGACCGGGAAAAAAAAACTCGATCGCAGCTTGGCTATCCAGGTAGGTTATAAGCCTCCTGAAGTGGGGTTCACCCAGTCAGTGGCTATCTAGGCATGCTTGTTTCTGGGTTGACGTTGGAAGGGGAGCAACAAATGAAAATTTTAGCAGTGAAGTGGTTGGATTTCAGCCACTAAACAATAAGCAAAAAATGCGAAACAATCCCAACAACCACCATGCTTTGTGGGAATTCAAGGAACCAAAGCTTCAAGTTGCTGCCTTTTTCCATCCACTTTACCCCACAAGCCGATCGCAACAGTGGCCGAAACAAAAAATCGCAGCTTGGCTCTCCAGCCGGGTATTTGAAGCTTTCGGGGACCCGAGTCCCGCAACACCAACCGGACCCGAGGCTCCGGCTGCGGTGGAGGAGTGGTTTGTCGGCAACAGCTGCCTGCGCCCAACGCATCGCAGATCTCCCATGAATTTCAGTGGATAGCGCTTGGAACAGATTGAGAGTCATTCATTCCTTTTTTGTTGCTCTTCCTTTGGTTTAGTGCTTAAATTCTTACAAATCTTTACCTTGGTGTATCTCTTCTCTTGATTATTCTAAAGTAGATGCCAGAGGTAATGGATGACAAAGAGATGAAGGTAAAGAGATGATAATTCATGTTTATTACACACTCTCATTCCTTAACCAAGTTCTGAGACAATATAATTCTGGAGATTGTCAACAACAAAAAGGGAACGAGAGCCCTTCGTTCATCTCCCACTTCTTGGATCGATAGATGGATTTGGGAGTCAACACTGAAAGAAGGTAAAAGGAAAGTAAATAAGAGAGGGATGGCAGTGGATGGGTTGGTAGGAAGAAATTGTCCATCATTCATCACGGTCCTTCCTTTCTTATCTGTTTCCCATGAATATGTGTATTTATTCTTGGAATGAAGCGAAACAGATATGAAGAGAATAGGATAGAGAAATGTGAAGAGCAAAGATAACATGATCGACCAATCATTTTATATCTTCATATCTTTCCTCGTTCCTTCACCTACTTCTTGGTTCTGGGAAACCGATACTAATAAAGGAAACCATATTTTGGACAAATGTGACCTTTTTGGAGGGCCGGTGTGATATTTACAACTCAAGCAACATAAATCCTTACTCTCTCAGGCCTTTTTGAACCACGCTCAAAACCAGATAATTACGTGTCTTGTTTTGAGGCTAGCCTTTTTCTTCTAAAAGGACTGAAAAGGAAACCACAAATTTTGGACGGGTCGTGTCCCGCATGCAACTTCCCTCCCCTACCCACCATTTCGTGCATGGGGAATATGCGCATCGCCCCCTAGAGGTGGGGATCGATCGGTGTACCTGGAGTCTCCTTCTGACCCGAATGAAAAATGGTTGGTTACCAAAAAATTTGGTTGGCCATTGACCCATTTTTAAAGGGTCATGGAGACTGAAAAATGGTTGGTTACCAAAAAAAAATGGTGGGTCATTGACCCATTTTTGATTCGGGGCAGAAGGAGACTCCAGGTACCTGGACCCTCACAATTTCTTGAAAATCCGGTTAGCGCCCCAAAAAATATAGAGTGAATTCCCCTTTTTCGAAGGGTACTTTGAGGGTCCAGGCTTGTTTTTACCACAAGGATCTCGAGTGTCTTCAGTCCGCGGGAAGTGAGCCGAAGATATGTCCCACTCTTGAAGCCCAACCGGGTACCAAAAGTGAAGTGGTTTCTCAGAGATCCGGTCCCTGCTTGTCGTCTACTCAAGTGAATCCTAGGGTGTGTCCTTAAAGGCTGTTTCTCTTTGTTCCCTACCTGAGAAAGTAGTAGCGGCAACCTAGGGGCCGTGAAATAAGCAACCACTGAACTCAAGGGTGAACATGAATCCCACAAAATTATGATGTCCACCAAAGGGTCCCCAAGTAAAAGTCACACCTATATCTATATATATATATATGTACATACACTTATATATATATATATATGTGTATATGCGTTTGTAAGGGCATCCCTTTTGTGGCTTAAAGGGGGACCAAAGGAAAAAGAAACATCCAGTACTGAGGGAAAACCAAGGAATGGAACACCAAATATAATTCACACCCATAGGTGGGTCTTTACTTCGGGGACCCCAAAAATTACGGTTGTCCTTTTGGTTCCCTTAATCACCACGAAAAGAAAGTACCCTCAAAAAAAACTTTTCACAGAAATTCTCAAGAAGTCTGTTGCCGCCAAATTCTAAGCCAGGTGTTTTGCTCGGAACGATTCGCTCGGCCGGTTCTGAAGCCTCGGAAATCGAATCAATTAACCTGGATCGCCAGTTGCGTTTATATTTTTTGCCCCATGCACTCAAAACCCCCAAAACCGATCACAACAGTGACTGAAAAAAGAAAGCAGCAACTTGGCTATCTAGAAATCATGAAAAAAACAAAGCTCTGAAGGAAACCAGTGGGACATCGCATCTATTGTGGTATCTTCAAATAAAATCAAATAATCATGACTGTGGGTCAAACATTTGTACCCAAAATGGCTTGCCTTGGTAAATGGAACCAAGGATAGCCGTCCCCTGGTTCTTTCATTTTGACCCATGCCCTCATGAAAAAAACAAAGCAAAGCCAGCACAGGGATCCTTACATTACGCGTACATTATACACCTGAACATTGAATGGTGGTTTTGCACTTGATGTTGGTGTTGAAAAAACATCATGTTTCAAATGGTTGCAACATTTGTATCTTTGAAGGAGCCCAGCACAAACCTTCCTAGATAACCAAATTGCTTCTTTCTTTTTTAAGTCACTGTTGCGATCGGTTTTTGGGGTAAAGTGCCCTCATGAAAAAGACAACCACTTTAAAGCCCCCCGCCTTGAGATCTCCTCGCTCGCTGGCCGAAGTCGGGCAGCTTCCAAGCGCCTCAGCGCCGCGCTCAGCGGCGCCGGCGGCGGCGGCGGCGCCGAAGCGCTCGCTTTGGCGGCGCGCAGAAGCGCGGAGCGCATGGGCCATGGCAGCGGTTGGACCGCGAAGTGCCAAGCGGTGTGTGTGTGTGTGTGGCCTTTGTAAGGGCATCCCAAACAACGGCATGGTGGGGTTCTCTATTTTGTCCACAGTGCCCTGAAAAAACGCCCTTGACAGGTTTCAGCTTACGCTTGCTTAAAACACAAAACGGCAAGTTCGCAAGTCCGTGTGCCTGGCCCAACTGTCTTGGGGGAGGTTTCTCTTCACTTGCAGCTTGGCCAGTGCGTGGTCGAGGGTTTGGGAAAGTGAAACAATGAACAACCCCAGTGATTCGATTTACCTGCAGAGGTAGCCAAGGGGACCAGCGGTGGGTTCCCCTTCCCCCCGCATTTACGCAACGCTTAGGCCACTCAAAGGGGTCGGGGAGAGCAATGCCGTCCTATGCCTTTAACACGGGTGACGCTAAGGTTGCATGCGGTGTGTTTGCTTGCTTTGCGCTGCTTGCCCCGTTTGCTTCCTGGTCTGTATGCCTGATTGTATGCTTGCTTGCTTCTGGATTTGTCTGTGTCTTCCTGTTGGTATGTGTTTAATTCCTTTGTCTGTCCGTCCGTCCGTCTGTCTGATTCATTTGCTCGTTAGCTGGTTCCTTGCTCGGAACGGCGGGGCATCTCGTCAGAATAAGGAAGCCCGTGTTCCCCTAAAAGAGAGGGAAGCCCTAAAAACAAGGACACCCCAATATGCCGAACAACATATTACCCCCCAAAAGCGGGAGTATCCGACGTAATTCTACTATAGGTGCAAACTGAACTACACGTTTGTCATGTGGGCGCTTGTTTTCCCAGTTCTGTATGGTTTCCTTTAAACGACCATACAAACCCATACCCTCCCAATTAACATGGAAGACCATTTTCCTCGTAAAGAGACTTCTTGTCAGGTTCCATGTTGATTGGCGGAGGGTAGGGTGTTTGACCCAAGACTTTGCTAGGGAAACCATCAAAAGAAACATGACACGTAGACTAGGCATGCCAGGCGTCAAACGGATTGGCCGCTTTTTGCACCCAAAGGGTCCAGCCGTGTGCCGAAAGGTGGGTGTTTATCACCTGGAAAATCAGACTGCGGGGCTGGAAGACACCTGAAACCCAACAACCACAACTTCCTTTTGGGCAAAATTCCTGTGTTGATACATATGGCTTGGAAGGAAAATAGAGGCTTGAAAAAGAGCTTCCTGAATCTATTTGGGAAAAAATCGTGGGTCGATATGCTAGTTGGAAAAAGAGCTTCCATCTACTTGCAAGAAAGTAGCGGGCAAGGGCCGCCGGGGAAATCCAAGAACGACAGGCCTGCAGCATCCAGGCGTCTGCGGTAGCGCCTCCTGGCACGGACCAGCATCACAAAGGGCACGGACCATTCTCAGGGGTTGCACCGGACCTCTATCGGAAGCCGGACCCCCCAACGACCTTGGATGCTCAAAGGTCTTTGCGAATCTCTCAACCCCTATATGTCGGGGTGTCTTCTTTCAAGGCTTAAGTTTTATTGGGCTTGTTTGCAACGGAGATCAGAGTGGGATCAGAAGTATGAAGCCCTGTACGTTTCCGGGGGGTCTTTTGGGCAAAGCTGGATGCTAGGTTTCCTGAATAACCTACTCTGTAGCCTGATACCTAGCTTGTTGTTTTGTCAGGGGAGAAGGGGCGGCGGTCAAAACTCAAGAGGAATGATGCAACGTTAAACCTGGCTGGAATGCATGATTAAGCCTTCACAAACTGAAGCGTGGCTGCTAGCAAACTTGAAGCACACACATCCGCTGCCCCCTATCTGGCTTTGAGTTTGATTGAACAATTCCCTCCCAACTGGTTGGTAAACACAAATCCCCACCTCAATCTTGTCCAGTGGTGCCCAGTTAACATTTACACCCCTCTTTTGAAGCGTTCAGGGTAGTCGAGCCTTCCCATTTCTCAAAACGAGAGTGACACCGACTCCTGGCCCGACAAGTGTTTTAGCAAGTGAGGCCCTGGTATCACCTCTTACTGCGCTGGCCTTCACTGTGAGAGGCCTAAAGGGTAAAACATGAGGTACCCTCCCACCAGCTAACATGAAAGTGCACAGACCCCTGTAGAAAGGCCAACTTCCTCTTGGAAAGGGCCTTTTTGCACTTCCATGTTGGTTGGTGGGAGGGTACCCATAAAAAGTCGGATACTTCACCACCAAACTATTTTTGTCGGGTTGCAATCCCCCATTGAGGGAACTTTGAGGGTCCAGGCAGGTCCGAACAACCAAAAACCTCGTGGCCGGTGCTTCAGAGGCCGAAACTTTGATCGGTTGCTTTCTGCTCCCAAACCCAGTTGGCCAAAAGTTCAAGTCCTAACATCCCTTGGCAAAATGCACTCATTTTTTTATCAAAATGATGTGGTCAAAATACTGCGTTTTGTTTGGTGATTTTTTGGCTATTTAGGTGAATTCCAGTTTTTCCATTTGTGTCGTATTGGGGGGTCCGGTGGGATTTGTTGGCTCTGGTTGAGAGTGCACAGATCGAGAAGGCGTGGTCAGACCAGTGGTTTGGGTTTGGGTCAAAGTTTTATACTTCCATGACTTTGCCCCAGTGTTTTGGCAAGCTCGCCTTTAAATAAAGGCGATGAAGGCCCTTTTCTTGGGGATCCCAGAAATGTCAGAGTTTGGAAGTATAGGATTTGCAGATACATGGGTGTGGCTCAAAACAAAAAGAGCCAGGGTAACACAATTTTAAGTCTTTGGTCCCATCTATCAAAATGCAATTTTGGTGCATGGTTTGAGCCACACATGAGTCCATGGAGTCATTTGAGGTGAACTCGACGCTCAGGCGAGCAAACCATTCGAGTAGACCTCTCGGCTTCTCCAACAGTTGACTGGGTAAACGGCAAAAGCCTTCGCGTTGCAAAGAGTGTCCTGTTTTTTTTCTCGGAGCCCCTGAAGAAAAGGGGCGCTGGTCGCAGAGCATCAAAACTCGGTAGCTGTTGACCCCCCTGCAAAAGTTTAACTTGTTGGGGGTTTAGTAGAAAACCACTTGATTTCCCAAAAAGTTAAAATCTAAAGATCCAACCCAATAGCAAGCAAGAAAATAGCACCAAAGCCCCGGATCGATCGATGGATCTCCTTGTGGTAGTGGGGACTTCTGGTTTTCGTCCTTTGCCGCTAGCAGCTGGCAGTTCTTCGAGAGCGCGTAGTCCCAGGTGTAGGTGAAGTCTGAGCGCTTTTTTGTCGGTCGCAAAAGCGAGGGGGCGTAAGGTGGCAATGGAAAATCACTGCATTTCCCCGAGTCAAGATCATGTTGCTGGTTTCCATTGAAACGATCGCCACTTTTGGAGCTTCCCAAGAAGAGGGAAGTTGCTCGGAAACCCTGGAAAGGGAAACCAAAACCGGTAGGCATTGGCCCCAACACCTTGCAAGCGTCCTTCTGTCCGATTCAAGAAACCAGCCCTGCATGTGGCTAGGCCTTGGTTTCATCGGCTCTTGGGCCTGGAGGTCCCAAACCAAAACCCACGAAGCTCAGGCTCGACGTTTCGGAAAAAACAACGGCGTGGGGTTCGTTTCCAACCCAAAGGGAGAGAGGGGGAAACGGCGTGTCACGACGAAATCAACGGTTTGTTGAAACATTGACGCAAAAAGCAACGAACTGGAGATCAAGTTGGGCTCCGCTTGAGGTGCCTTTGGATTGCTTTTCTGTCTCCTGCCAAGTCAAACTCAGGAGTCCGACCAAATTGGAGACTTAGCAATGTGTTTCGTCAACATCAAACTGAAATGCTGAGTCGGCTTGAGAAAATAGGTGTCCTTTTTGGGAAAATAGATGGATATCCCTGGCAATTGATTGAACCACCAGGTAAACCAGGAATCGCCCTCTGTCTTTCAACCAAATCAACCAAAAAGGTGATCAGGTTTGATCCCAACTCGAAGTGGAGTCAAAGGTTTCGCCCAGACGACCCGCCCATTCTTGGCAAGCGCCACACATGTCTTCCTCACAAACAGTGCCCCACTAGCCTTTCACCCCTTCGGACAAGTGGCGCGGGTCCCACTTTCCGACCATGCCTGCATGAAACTCTCTTTAGGAAATTAGAATCCTTACCGAACCCATGGCATTGAGCAGAAACCAAATGGACAAACAACAAGGTCCAAAACCTCCGAAAGAGCTGAGTTCCCTCTGATTTTGATTGCAACCTGGGTGAAACTATCGAATGGAAGGTATGTCTTTTTTTGAGGACACCCACAATTATGGTTGTGCTCTTGTTTTCAATTTAGTACCCTCAGAAACAACAAATCCATATTTGGGATATTTGGGAATGGACATGGTTCCCAGTAGTGATAGATTCCCTTCGTAGTGATAGATCTAAATATATCCAAGTCATAGATTCCAAGTTCAATCCCAGGGGCAAATCAACAATTCTTCATTTCAGCAAACGGAAGTATACCGTATACCCACATTTGCAAAACCAAAAAACAAAAAAACAATGAAAAGAAAGGAAACAAAGGGAAAACAAAGGGAAAACAAAGGGGAATCAAAGAAAGAATACCAAGGAATAATACCCTTTTTATCACACATGGAAACAAAGGGACAACCCGAAAAAAGTCCTTTGCGGTGGTTCTGGTTGCATGTTTTGACCCGCCAGGTGCCCCGGTCCCCCAGTCCGGTCGGACCCAAACCGCTCCGAGGAGCTTCCGCAGCTCATGCCCGGGCACATGGGCTGGATCTGCTCCGAGCGGCAGGCCTGGCAACGAGCGGATCGTTCTCCGGGAGGGGAGTCACCCCATGAGCCGAAGCAAAGACGTGGCTTCCATTTGCGGAGAAGTCCCCTGGAAGATTCCGTTTTTAACAATATTTCTTTCAGTAGTGATAGATTCCCTTTGAAACCAACAGGGGAAAATGAACAATACTCTTAAGAAAATGGAAGCATGGGTGGAACTCCGGGTTTTTTTGGGGTTGGTGTAAGGGTTTAGGGTTTAGGGTGGTTGTCAAAACCGTTTTGGGATCCCATTTTGGGGTAGGTGAATTCACCACACATTTTAGGCCTTATTTTAGTGGGGATTGGGATGTTCACTGGGGGTACGATTTGGATTTTGACCCATGGCCACATGGGTGCATGCTTCCATTTGCTGAGAAGTTTCTCTGAAAAAAAAAAAACAAAACAATATGTCCAGTAGTGATGGATTCCCTTTACCAACAGAGGGACAAAAACAGTATCTTAAGCAAATGGAAGCATGGGTGGACCCCCGGGGGTGTTGAGGGTTGGTGTAGGCGAGGAGCCAAAGACATGGGACCTCGGCGGGTGTTTAGGGTTGTACCTGGAATAGGTCTTGAGGCTTCCTGCAATTGAGTCAAGAAGTGGCCTTTCCAGGTCATGACACATCGATTGCCGATGCGAAATGGGGGATAGAAACCTAAGGACAGCTAACGCCTGGTCTGGATGAGACTCATCTTCTCAACAGTCTTAACGTCGCTGCTGAAACTAGATTTCATGGTCATTTTCCTTACACATCCCAGCCTTTATTTGCGAATATGTTGGGGGAGAGGCTTGGTCACTGTCATATCAATCTCTCCATCGCCGTTCTCTTGGCTCGTCTCAACAAACTGAGAAGAAATAAGCTCAGGTGATATCCCCAACAGCATGCTGAACCCTGGTGGAACCGTCGTGGAACCTTGGCTGAGGGCCCAAATGGAACCCTGGTAAGTGGAAACATGAACCAAAACCTGGTCCCCTGCATGGTGGTTTAATTGTGGTAGATTTAAACATGGCCCGTATCTGCAGCTCGCGCAACGCATGTTCAGATTCTGGCAACCGGCCACCAAATGAAGACTAGCTGGACCCTCAAACTTAACAAGGTGACCAACTCAAAGGCGTATAGGTCGATTCGATCAAAGGGCAATTGAGAGAAAGGGGAGTCCAACCAGGGGTACCCTCAAAAGAATAGACCTAGATAGCCCAAGTTGCGATCGCTTTTTTCAGTCCACAGTTGCTGCTTTTTGGGGTTTTGAGTGCATGGAGTTGCGATCGCTTTATTCAGTTACTGTGGCTGGTTTTTGCGGTAAAGTGCATGGAACAAAAACAAAAACGCCACTGGCGATCCAGGCACACCCATTTTGGAGACCCCAAGCGCCGGCACGGCCCCGAAATCGGCGAGGCGCCTTCCCTTTGAAGGTCACCAAGCTGCCTTCAGCCACCTGGTCCGTGGGGCACACGCCTCAGAGAGATTGGGAGTGCGCTTGTGGGAGAGAGCTGTACCCAGATTAATACCTGCCTGGAGTCTCCATGACCCTTTTAAAAGTTGGTGAATGACCCCATTATTTTGGGTAATGACTCCATTTTTCAAGGGTCATGGAGACTCCAGGTACTTCGTCTTTTGAGGGGAACACCCCCCTACTCATAAACTGGGGTGGATTTCATACTGTGCATGGTTGCAAAATCCATACTTCGCAGCGTTCGGAAACCAGTGTCTCATTCGATTCCCCCAACGTAAATACCAACAAACCTTTATGGTGTCAAGCATGGCTTCAAAGTGTTGCGAAATGGAATTCGCAACCATCCACAGTAGGGTTAGTACCTCGGACTCGGTGAAACATGTCGCCATATTCAACAATCTTCAAACTAGAAGCATTTCAACATAATTTACCAGGGTATGTCCAGGGTATACCAGAGTATTTCCAGATAAACCGATTTACAAAGAATAGGAAAACCAAGAATATCCAGATTACACCCAAAGTATACCCGCAGTATACCAAGAATACCCAGATTATACCCAGAGAGTTGCCTAGATTATATATATATACAGGATGTACCTACGGGTGAGGGTAGAAAAAACACCAACCGGTATATGCAGGGTACTGCAGTATCCAAGAACCAGAATAATATATACGGTATACCCACCGTATTTTCCTGGCGTACCGAGTGAGTCATGAGGGTAACGCTTGGTAGTAGCCAATCGGTTGCTTGGGGGTTTCCTGTGGGCTAGGGAATCCGGGGATAGGGCTTAACGGGTGTGTCTGTTTTTGAGGGGACCCCATGTCTTGTGGCTTTTAAGGAAAACCAAAAAGGAAAACCACTTACAACACACGCGAAGAAAAACAAGTCCTCTTCATCTCGCCTCTCGCTACTCCCCGATATTTCATATTAAACACACAGCTCCCCCAATAGGAGTTTCCTCCACCCATGTGACGAGTGTTGCTGTGAATGCTCTGAAAATTGCAAGTAAACCAACCGCATGGTTGACTTTACTGGGCTTCCAACTTCCCTACCCCCAACTCAAAAGACCCGCTTGTTTCATGGTATTTTGTGAGCAAACCTGGATTTCCATGGTAAATACCGCCTTGTTTCGTAGAGGGTCGACATAATATCCTGAAAAAGAGGGTATTTGGAGGTACTTACACTATTTAGGGCAACCACCCAGATGGCTGGCCAATTGCCGGCACATCGATTTTGGGCAAAACGATGTCACTGTGTGTCTAAGTGACTGCAAAATCAATTTGCTATCAAGTATCACTCATCTTTTGTGCAATGATACAAGTGACCTTCCAGCGTCCTTTGGAATGGGGTTGCAGGGGGAAGGGGAGAGCGGCAAATTTGAGGTTTGGAGGGCAAGTTTGAGGTTGGGAGGGGTTCTTGAGGAGCTTGTTTGGGATATCCCTCCCCCCCCGCACGTTGCGTGTGCAATGATCGTACATGTCAGCCCAACCCCTCAACCGGATCCCCTCTGGTATCCTAAAGTGACGTTTCAACAAAAGTGACTGTTCACTGCACTTTGATGATGGCAACAAAATCTATGTGACTGCGGGTCAATTGCCGGCACTTCACCCGGGACGCCAATTACCGGCCATCGGGGGGGCCTGGACCGTATCTCTCTTGTTTCCCTTCTTCTTTCTGGAGGCCCGAGGAGGAGGTGCCTGTTGATTTGCATAGAAAGACGACGACAACTCGTAGGCTTTGGGCTTGGTTGACGTTGGAAGGGGAGCAAACATTAAAACTTCAGCAGTTAAGTGGGGATTTTCCAATAACCTACAACAAGCAACAACACCCATGGGGGGGGGGTCATTTTACGGTGCTGCGACGCCGCAACAAGCTGATCCATCCAGCAACCCAGAGATTCCCTGACATGCCCTTCCCCTACTTTGCCAAAAAAAAAACTTTCAATACAAAAGTTCCACTTGCTCTTTCCAACAAATCGGTTTTGAGCCAAGAACTCTTTTCCCCCACAAATCTGAGAAAAGCCTCCCCTCCCCCCCTGGCCACCCAGCCACCCCCCCGAATTCCCCGAATTGGTCCCTCGGTCGGGGGGCTACTGAGGAGCAGCTGCAAGACAAAGGCCGCGGAGGCCGGGGACATGTGCCCGTAGATGCAGTCCTCCGGCACCTCGAGAAAAAGGAAAAGTTGCGAACAAACGAACACTCGACGACTCGAGCCACTCGAAACTGGGCGGCTAGATAGCTTCGAATAAGGGTACCAACTCTTTTCAGGACCTCGATTTTAGTAGGGGAAACCTCCCGCAAAAAAAAGAAACGGTAAAAGGACACTGCTGGGGGAAACCATTCAATTCAACCTGAAAACTTGCGATCGGTGCGTTCTCGATGCAGGGAATGAGACATGGAGTCTGACTCTGACCCCGTTTTCTTCCATCCAACTGGTGGTTCTTTTCATTCCGGGACCAACTCCTGGGTTACCCCCTATAAACCATCCAACTAAAATCAAAAATCGACTCCACTCCGCTGGGGACACCCTGAATCGACTGGGACTAGGGACTGGGACTTGGGGAAACCATTAAATTCAACTCATGTCCGAGCCAGTGGATCATTGCCTGGATCGCCAGTGGCTGTTTTTGTTCATGCACTTTACCCCAAAAGCCGCCAACAGTGACTGAACAAAAACAGCAACTTGGCTATCCAGGTGGATTTCCACCCAATCAAATCAAAAGTTGATCATGTTCCTGGCGGTGTCCAGTGAAACCATCGATCCACTCAAGGTTACAAAAAAGGAAATGCAGAACACCCCGAATCGACTGGGACTGGGGACTAAACGCCCATTCAACTCACTTCCAACAACTGAGTGGATGGGCAACAAAAAAATAGCTAAACCGTTTTATTGTGTGAATGCCGCTAAAATGTTTTTTCCTGAAAAGTTTAAAGTTCAGGCACTCAGGGAGTGAGATCCGCCAAGAAATCTAGGGACCTTCTCCCGGAAAAAGTCGGCCCGGGCGAAACAACTTGGAGCTTTTCAGGGTATGATGTCGACCCTCTACTTAAAAAGGAGGTATTTACCTTGAAAAACCAGGTTTAAAAAAAAAAAAAAAACAAAAAAAAAACTAGAAAAAGTGGGTATTTGGAGTAGGGGGTAAGACCGGGTGAGCCTTCCACACTTACCAGTTAGGGTTACGCTGTTTGATAACATATGACTTACCTGAGCGAAAGCAAGCAAGGAACAGGCACTGGACGGTGACAGGGGAATCGAGCAACTAGCACTGAGGAACCTCCTACATCATGCATCCGCAGGCGAGTTGTCATCTTGATTGTTATCTACAGAAAGGGACGCTATACCGGCCTTTCTTTCTCCAGCGCTGAAAACCACATTTTTTGCAAAGAACGGCAAAACACACTGCAAAATCAAGGCCCAGCAGACGTCCCGCTCTCTTTGTTTGGCTGGTCATCCCATGTAAGGCACCTTTCGAGCAACCCCCAAATATCATGTTCTTGGCCCGAGCGGTTTCGGACCACCCCCGCACACCAGGATTTGTGGTTTTCATAACTTTTCGACAACTCCAGCAGCGCTTTCGTGATCACCTTGGGGGGTGTCCACCGCGTCCCCAACTAACACACGAATTCTTGGTGAGTCACCCCAACTTCAACTCCTTCTTATCTGGTCCGATGTCATCCCCTTTACACTGGGCGGTCCGTTTACAGATCCCCGGCTAGTCTAACTTCTAGCGGGTTACATGGAGGCCCCTAAACCCGAAACACCCAACAGCCTAAGGAACCGGATATCTGGGCTTGCCACCTATGTGCCCAAATCCCACCCCCAGTAAACTCAAAAAAACCAGAAGCACCAGGTCACCAGGTGGCAGCTCCAAGCGGGCTGCTCCCTGACACATTGGTCATGAGATATAAATGATATAAAGGTCACCAAATTCACAGGGCAAGCCGTTGGGAAGCCAGCCACATGGCCATTGGGGGCACCAAGCGCCGCAACAAAAAAAGCCAAGCCGAAACCCCGCCTGCTCCGTCAAGCTGTAGACATCAAAGTACCGAACCTGGGAGGATGTGTACCTCAGAACAAGTCGCTTCCGATGCGATCCGGTTGAAGCAAAACAACCAGTAAACATCGCTTCCCTCAAATCTGTGGTTGGGGTTGGCGGTTTGTACGCTCAGGGGTGCCTTTCCCAGTTGGCCCTCGACAGGGACGGTTCAAACCCCCAAACGAATCCAAACCACCAATGGAGGGCAACCTGAAAAAAAGCACTAAATTATTCTGCGGCCAAGAAGCTCCTGGAAGTGCTTGCGGATGGCTTGATGCAAATGGTTGTACACCGGGTTCTTGTAGTACTCGCTGCAATATTCCACCTATCCGAGCGGCTGACGCATGCACTGAGCAACACGCAAGCATGGCAGCAAGGTCGACTGAAAACTGAGAAATCCTGCGACTGACAGCTGACAAGGGAGACAGAGGCTGAATCTACGCTAGCGCTGGGAACCTCAACTATGTCCTCCAGTAGAGAGGATAGAATAAGGGTACCCTAACTTTCTTCTGTAGTCTATTTTAGTAGGGGAACCCTCCCCAAAAAAAGTGGAGAGAAGGGCACCTAGCTGGGGGACCTAGTCAATTTGCTCAGGTGCTATGCTCATCCCTGAAAGCCATATGGCTGTGGGTCAAAAATCGGTACCCCAAATAGAACCTTGGCAAGTGGAAACATGGACCAAAACCTGCGGTCCCCTGGTGGTTTAATTTTGGCCCATACCCATATACATGTGCGTCTGTCCTAAGCATCTTGGGCCCTCAAAAAGACCCTTTTCGAGAACCAACACCAAACCAATGGAGTGTCTCTAACCCAATGGAGGGTTCGGTGATGCTTGGGGTCGGTTTATTCTCAAGGGAACATCATGAGGTCAACATTGGGGAACTGAGGTGTACGTCGCTGTGGAACAAAACTAGCAGGGGCAGGGTACTTGGTAAGTTTGGGGAACTTACAACCATTTCTACAAGCCAGTTGCTGAGTGATTGTACTGCACCTTTAAGTACAGTTGATAGAGAAAAAAACACAACTAATTAGTTGGTAGATGCTCCCTGCCAATACTTGGTGTTATTCATCGCACGCTCACCCTAAATGTGTTGCATTCGGATGCTTGATTGTCCTTGTTTCAAGCCGGAGCCGTCTACCACAACCCGTCAAACGAGTGAACACGAAGTGCCATTTGTCAACAGAGCAGGTCCTTTCGCCGAGGGGCAGACATCACGGTGCATCCGTGTTTGCTGGCACGGCCGTTGGGTCCGCAGAAGTCTTGCAACATGTCGGCAGTCCTCGCAATTTCAAGAAAATTTCGCCCAGACCCGAAGTTGAGATCGGAAAGCGAAGAAAAAACAAAAAACACAAAACGAGAACTACAAAAAAGCAGAAAGGGTGTTGGGTGGGGGCCACATCTCTCATTTTTCCGCCACAAAGCCATCCCTGTGGATCCCAGGCAAGCCACTTTTGGTAACCCTTCGCCAGTTTTTTTTTTTTTTCCTAAAGGGGTGTCTCCCTTGGTTGGCTATGCTGAGAAACTGTTTTTTTGGGGGGATCTTCAGGAACTCCCAAACTGGTTGGCGTTTTTCTTTCCTTCAAACGGCCCACGGAAACGGAGAAAAGAAAAAGGATTGTCCCGCGGGAGAAACGAAAAAAAACGTTGAAAGCTTCACCAGAGCGTAGCTACACAAATCATGGAATCCGACGCCAGACCAAAGTATACCTTCCGCTCCAGTTCACCCCAACGGGCCAAAGCAGCTATGCTTGATTCTGGCCATATCTAGCGGGCCTTTAAAAGTCAGGGCAAAGCCAAGTTGAAAACGAAAACAAGCTTCGTAGCTCAGCCACTACGGAAAACTCAAACCAAAGCACTTGCCACGCGACCGTCTAAGCACCACAGAAGCAGTCTCAGTCGATTCACGTGCTGATACTCGACAAAACGACGCGGCGAAAACCACGATTTACTATTTGTTTTTACCCTGATTGTTTTGGTGGTTGGTTGCTCGTTGTATCGGTTGTATAAGGGGAAAACCAACTCAATTATGACGCCGATCAGCACCTCAAACAGATTTCTTCCCCCCCCCCCCCCCCCCCGCGCCCACCCGGCCCGCCCGTTGAGTGCCTTTCTTTTGTCGGCGCGTGCGCAAGAAGCGTTGGCCACCATCTGGCTTGAAGTAAGGGAGCCATGCCAAAACGGGCAAGGAGCTGCGACAAAACCTGGCGCACATGGGTAGCCTTCAGCTTTTTCTCGGCAGGGGTTTGGAGCCATACTCTAAGTGTTCTTTGAGCCAGACTTACTCTAAACAAAAGCATCACTGGCCTAATGTTTTTTGGCTGTCTGGCGGTAGAAACTCCACGCTCCAACGGCCACACCCCACCCCTTCCCGCCCCCCCAAAACCCCCCGGCCGCAGCCCACACCTCACCTCACCTCAGTCCTGCGCATGCCCTGCAGGTAGACCTCCACCATGGCCTCGGTGTCCAAGCCCGCGATCTCCGGCCTGCCGATGGCTTCGGTGGATTTCTGTGGAGCCTGGAAACCCGTGTGACGTGTTTTTTTCTCTCCATACGGCTTGGGCAACATGTTTTTTCCACGGCTTTCCAGGAGGCCAAGTTGGATGGACCGAGCCTCTTAAAAAGTGGGGTTAACAGCTATTGCACCTCAACATGTATGGTTCGTAAATGTGGGTCAACGGCTATTGCACCTCGCAAAAGGCATGGTGGGTGAATTCCGAATTCCCCTTTTCTGTGGGTAGTTTGTGGGTCCAGGTGGTGTTTTGAGGGTGCAGAGTGCAACATGGTCCATGTTGACTTGTTGATCCCCCAAATCAAAAGTTGGAGTGGCGCTAAACGGAATCCGTCCATGTCAAATGGGCATGGGTCAAAATTAAACCACCAGGGGACCGCAGGTTTTGGTCCATGTTTCCACTTACCAGGGTCCCATTTTGGGGTTACCCTATTTTTGACCCACAGCCTTAAATGTGTATTTACGTCGCTTTAAGTTTCTCCGAGGTTGAAGTGGCGTTGACCTTTGGGTTTTGACGGGGCGATTTACGTTGCTCCATGACAGAGAAAAAGGTTCTTCGTGAGCAAATGTGCAGCTTCCACATTTAACTGAACCCACCCCAACAATCTAAACTCTGAAGGCCTCTTCTGGGCGCATCCCTAGGGTTGCTAGCTCCTCCAGATTTGAGAGGTTAGAATAAGGGTGCCCGAGTTTTTTTTTTTCTGCAGTCACTTTTAGTAGGGGAACCCTCCCAACCAAACAAGAAACGGTAAAGGGCACCGATTGCTGGGGGACCTGCTGGACCGCGCATCGGGCGGCGAATCGGATCGAAGGATCAGATTCAGCAATGTCGTGGTGAACGCTTGGCTGCAGGCCAGTCCTGCCCCCAGCAAATAACCATATTTCCAGATAGATTCCCTTTGAGATCCCACGAGGGATTACAAAAACACACCAGCCTGACAACTAAAAAATGGGTGATTGCAACCCACAATTGAGTTGGTGAATCCCCCTGTCTATGGGTTTGAGGGTCCGATCGGTACTCTAAAACAAACAAATGACATGGAAGCGTTTAGGCCCCACCAAACGACCCGAACCATGCCCGAACCATGCGGCTCCATAGGTGTCCTTTTAGGGTAAATAGATGGATATCCCTGGTAGATGATTAAACCAACAGGTAAACCGATCGGACTCGCCCTCGATTTTTCCACCAAAACAACCAAAAACCATGCGGCTCGCTCCTTGTGCGCGCTCCTTGCGGGCTCCCTCCTCCCCCTCCGCCGCGCGAGAGGCTCCTTGCCTGGTGCTGCACCATCCCAGGGTGCAGCCCACGGAGTAGCCGTACCACAAGCCCACCGCCACCACGGGGAAGATCTGGGCCCGATCCCAGCCGCCTCACGGAGAAGAAACTCACGCGGTCAGGTAGGTGAAACAAAAAAAGGTCAGGTAGGTGAAAAAAAACGGCAAAAAAAAACGATTTCGGAAGAAGCAGGGGAACTGGAACGGGAACCCTCCAAATTCTCCACTTAAAGATGGGTTACAACACCAAAATCAGGGTTGGTGGAAGCCCCTTTTAATGTCTTGAGGGTCCCACAATGTTTTTGGAGTTGGTACCCAGAAAGGAAAGCCCACCATTTGGGATTCAACCGAAAAAAGAACGCTGGATGTCAGGTAGGTTACAACCATAGTCATAAGTAGGGTAACCTTGGTTTACCACAGCCATAACCCACTTACCAAGCGGGTTGCATGCTTTATTGGTGGTTTTGAAGGAAAACCAAAAGGAAAACCCACCATTTGTAAAAACGACACACCATGGTCCAGAAGAGGGGGGTTTCAAGAAGTCGAAGGAATCCATAAAAATGGGAAGGCCCGTCCACCCCACTAATTTGGTAAAGGTTTCGGCTTGGTTGTACGTACCTGGACCCTCAAAATACCTGGAGTCTCCATGACCCTTTAAAAATGGGTCAATGACCCCTGTATTTTGGGTAATGATCCCATTTTTAAAGGGTCATGGAGACTCCAGGTACCTATGAACAATGATTTGGTTATTGTAAAATTATGGGGTGGATCGAGTCCCCTTTTCAAGGGCCCCGGCAATTTGAGGGTGAAGAATGAATATGCATTGGCAACCCAAAGGAAATCTGATTCACCCACCCCTGATAAATGGGAAACATATATAAATCACCCAAACAAGGGGAAATGGAAACTCAATTGTAATTTGCGCTCGTTTGTGCGATTTTAAGTCCCTCATTTTGAGACAAATCCAAATGGACATTTGGTCACTGGCAAACTCCAGTGAAAAGTGCCAAGATTGGGACATTCCAAAGCCACTGCTCCACCACGAAAGGTCACCAAAGTGTCAGGTAAAACCTGGCAAGAAACCCTTGCCTACTGCGGAATGACGAAATCCTGCACCAAATTGAAACGATGGGGAACCATTGTTTGCAAGGAAGCTCCCTTCTTCGGTGAGACTGCACTCATGGACACTCAAGTGCTTTGAGTGCAACCTGGATCAGCAAACCCTGGAACTGCATCTTGGGAGGGTCGGACACCGCTCCCCCCCCCTGCAACGCTTCAAGTGGCTCATTTGCGATTGCGGCAGTCGAAAGCCTGTGCAACACGAAAGTGGCCTGTAACTCAAATATTGTGTCTGGGGGGCTTCATGGATCAACCATACCCCGTGCTGGGAACTTTTTTTCACGGATTTGACGACTGAAAGGCTTCAAAGGACTGCCGGGGGCCCCTGAAAAAAAATGGCAAAAAAGCCACAACTCCTTTTTGGAGGGCGCGCTGGATTAACTTTTAGTGGGTTGGTTCGAAATCCAACCACTACATACTAAAAAGCTAAAAGGCTAAGGAACCGGATGGCTTGGAGCCACCAAGTCAAATTCAGAGGAAAACCCCCGAAATGCAGTGGATCTCAGTTGCCATAGGTAGCCAGTCATGTTCCTTTTAATTTGTCAAGGGTGGCAAGCCCTGGGTTCCTTCAAAACTAGGGGTCAAGGGAACCACTAGGTCCTCCAGTAGAGAGGTTAGAATACGGGTACCCTTTTTCTGTAGTCTATTCTAGTAGGGAAACCCTCCCCCAAAAAAGTTGGTACAAGGGCACTGGGGACCTAAGCACACTTCGGCTTTTTCAGCGCCCGGTTCGACCCTTTTCTCTCTTTCCCATCCGCCCCGAGCCCCTCCGATCGGATCGAAGCCGGCCTTCCGTGGAGCCCTCGAGGGCTAAGAGCCCCAGATCGGCCTCGTCCCAGTACTCCGCCAGCAGGTTGGTGATGCGGATCCTCGACGATCCGAGCGATCGGATTCGAGAGAACTGCGATCAGAGCCCGGGCCCCTGAGAAATGGAATCTGACCAGTCTGACCCCTCAAGAAAAATTGAATCCCCACTGGTGGTTTCCTTCAAGGAGATGGACCAAAGCCTGGGTTCATTCCGTATCGCACCAGCAAGAAGACTCGTCCGATCGTAGCTGCCCTTTAAACAACCAAAGACATTGGCCACCAAAAGGTGATGCGAAACATGGAGAACATCTCAGGAACGCAGCAACAAGGTATGTATCAAACTAGGGGAACCCACCAAATGGCCAAACGAGGGGTACCTAAAAGAAAAAGCACACACACACACAGAAACACGTATTATACATATATGCTCCAAAACCTGCACAGGCTCAAACAAATGCAACAAATGAAGGAAAAAAAGCCAGACCAATCAAGCCCTGACCTCTGACATGTTGTTCGAGGCTATGAATGGTTTAAGCACACAAAGCTCAAAAACCTGCACCGGCTCATAAAAAAATAAAAATAAAAATGCAAAACATGCAAAAAGCCAGACCAATCAAGCCCTCACCTCTGCCGGTGCATCTAGGTTTTGCATTGTTTGCATTTTGTTGAGACTGTGCAGATGTTGGAGCTTTTAGCTTTGGATGCTTTGTATTTCTTCAAGCCGGTGCATGCTTTGAGGACGCAATCATCAAAACACGAAAATAACAAGCAAAACAAGTTCAAGTGTGGTTTTGCACTTTCCTTCAAAACACACTGCAAATACCCGTGTCTTCAACACTGATAAAGTTGCATCTGAAAACACTTTCCGTTTGCGTGTCTTTTTTATTGTTGATTCTTGTGTTGCATCAAGCACTGAAAGAACATCTGGAACAAAAAACAACATCTCACAAAACACACTGTAAGTTACAGTGCTTTCAGCAAGGCATCTGCAAACCAAGTGGACACTGAACATCTGCCAATAAATCCTTTTTGTGAAAACAATATAAAGGTGAGCCCTGGAAAGGAGGGGGTGACCACATATGTATATATCATATATATATATATATGCCACCCGAAGCGCCGCCCCAAATGCCGCCCAAACTCCGAAGCAAACCAACCAAACGCGCAAAAAAAAAAAAACACGCCGCAGGGGTGCTGGCGCCCGTTGAAGGGCGGCGCCAGCGCCAGGTTCGCATAGACCCCGGGCAGCGCCACGGCGTCCAACTCCGCGCTGTGCGCGCCTCGAGCAATCGCCGACGACTCGCGACGCGCGAGTCGTAGTGCGCGGGCGTCGAGTCGGAGCTGTGAGCCGAGTCGGCCCGAGGAATGGGTTGCTTTCTGCTCCCCTGATAAAAGTGAATAACTTTGAGCGGTTTAATACGGAAAACCTATTAGTTGGCAAAAACGTTAAAGTCCTAACATCCCTTGCCAAAATGCAACAAACAGTCCATAGTCCCGGTTTTCAAGGGTACAACTGAGGGGAACTGAATTAGAACTGGGTTATCCTCATGGTAAGTAGGTTAGAACCACGGGTACAATTGGGGTAACTGGGTTAGTTGGCTTGTCACCGTGGCTATAATATACTTACTAGGGTTCTTTGGGATGAAAGTAACCCCGAGCTATGCCGTTCAGTGGAACTTGCAGCCAGGCTTAGCAATCACGCTTCGCTGGGTACTTCCAATTTGAGCATGCCCCAAACCGGTCGACCCTGGATTTACATGGTCATCAAGGCTTGCATAAGCTAGGTCCTCCAGTAGAGAGGTTGAAATAAGGGTACCCTTTTTTGTGTAGTCTTTTTTTGTGGGGAAACCCTCCCCAACAACAGGGGAGAGAAGGGCACCTAGCTGGGGGACCTAGTAAGCATGCACACCAACTTACTACATTGGCCCTCTTCGCGACGGAACGCTGATGAAAAACTGATGGTGGCACGCCTCCGTGGTTGTTCAGCTGCGTCATGTCTCCGTTGTACACGATCTGCTTGTGCCTCAGTGGGATGACCGGTTTGACCCGTGTGGGAAAACTTAGTGCCTGGATAGCCAAGTTGCTGTTTTTTGTCAGTCACTGTTGCTGGTTTTGGGGTAAAGCGGATGGACAAAACAGCAACTGGCCGTCCAGGTGGCCACTCAATTGGGCATTCTGGCTCAATCATGGAACACCAGCCACTCACAAGCCCATCAAGCTCATATTCCAAGTGGGAAACACACTCCCCCTAGTAGTGTATGCCTTGATAATCTGTTAGGTTGATTCATCCGGGGTTGACGCTACTAGAACAATGCTCCCTTACGCAACAAGTATTGCACCAAGTCTCTCCGTGACACCAAAGCAGGCCATCCCCAATCCCACGATCACAGCAAGTTGCCAGCCATGAGCCAAATCACTCTTCCACAAACTCTCAACTGCTCAGGAAACCCCAGGGACTGCCCCAAGGCTCACCATAACAACCTACTAGGTCCTCCAGTAGAGAGGATAGAATAAGGGTACCCCGTGTTTTTTTCTTTTTTGCCTGGGGGACCTAACCTTTCCTGACTTAACATCCAAGTACCCAGTCAGGGCACACCACCTGGCCGTCCTCAATCACAAGGTCCATGAGCTGGAGCCACACTCCTACCGAGAGAAGCGCCGCCAGAAGCCGAGCGCGCCAACCGTTCGGCTTGAAGCACCACAGCAAAACCAGTGAGGGAGTATCTCGGTGGATCCCAGGCAAGCCACTACAGTTCTAGGGGTTGATTCCCCATTCTTTTTAACCATCATTCTTTCCACAAACCAGCTGTTTCCCCTGGGGTGTTCTGAAAAGAAGGATCCCTGGAAAGAATGGGGAAGTGTCCCCTAGAACAGTAGGTCATTGTCCTTCCAGCGCTTCCTTCGCCATTTTCCTTTTAGCCTTTAAAGGCTGGCCTTTCATTGAACCTACTGCACAGGGAAATGGAATCACCGGGTCAGGTAGGTAGTCGGTGTTTGCTTTTTCTTTTCAGGAACCCTTTGGTTTCAAGTTGCAAACCGTTTTTGGGCTCGATGTTTTGCGGGGGAGTTTGACACATATTAAACCTCAATGGGGCCCCAAGCGGCCGTAAGCCGCAGACGGAATGGGCCAAAAAGGAAAAATACGCTGGCCACCCAGTGATGTGAGAACCAAGGGAATCACCCTAAAATAACAAAAGGCGATGACACTTTAATTTCAGCCACCGAACCACCGACTTAGAAGGGGAACTCACGTTAACCACAAGTGTCGCCGCAACTCACCAGCCATTTCTATATATCACCCCACCAAAAAAGAAGTGATATTTTTTGAGGGTCCGGGCACGTTCCACCAAACCCAAACCCGTAAAGAGACGGGGGGCCAGAACCACAAGAGGGGGCCTATGTTTTTCGGTTCTACCAACCAAAAATAGCAAAGTCTTCTGCGTGCACTCTGAGCATTGCAAAGCGTGCACAAAGCAACACCCATGGCCCAGTTTCAGGCCACAGCTCACAAAGGGATCAATCCGCGCGGCCGATCTGATCTGCGGCGTTTTTGAACCGTTGCCGGGGGATTCTCCAGATGTGTGGCTTGTCTCTTAGAAGTCCAACATGGCTGCGGTGTTCGTGGTTTCCCTTTGACAACCAGAAAAGTAAAGCACCTGGAGTCTCCATGACCCGTTAAAAATGGGGTCATTACCCAAAATAATGGGGTCATGGACCCATTTTTAAAGGGTCATGGAGACTCCAGGTACCTTCAAACAACCGAAAAAGACAAGCACACAAACAGTCAGGGTCATACGAGGCACGGTCAAACAACTGAAACTGGTCGATACAAATTTAGAGTTCGGCCTTCTCGTCTCTGCCAAACGAACCTATACGCACATCAGGAAACTTGGACCTCAAATTTAAATGGGTGCATGTTCAAATAGGGGACGCCCCAACTGGTGCTTACGCTCTTGGTTTCCTTTTAGAACCGTTCCCCAAAAGGATATCCTAACTTGGTTGTTGTTGACCTCCCTGCAAAAAGTTTAACTTTTTGGGGGTTTAGTGGAAAGCACCTCTATTTCCCAAAAAGTTAAAGTCTAAAGATCCAACCCAATAGCAGTCAAGCTAAACACCCACACGCCCATGTCTTCGTCTGGCCAAACCCCGTCGGACCAGTCAGCTTATGGGGATCGATCCATCGACTCGCGGGGTCCGTCGGTGATGAAATGGTCCCGGAGGGCGTTGAAGGCGTTGGGGGCCAAGGTGTTCGCCTCGGGACAAATCCCCGGTTTTTTGACTTTCCCGTCCTTGGCATGGAGATGGCAAACAGCTTCTCCCTTGCAAAACAACAGAAACCGAAAACGCCGCATTTGCAGAGGAATTTTGCGCTTGGGGATCCTTTTGTTGGGTTCTGTGTTAACTTGCACAGGAGTTGCCATCCGTTGGGCGGCCTGTCCTGAGAGAAAGGTGGGCAACCAAAAGAAAACACATCAAGCCATACCCAGTGATTCCACTTGGTTTAGGTCAAGGGCTTGCCACCTTGAACAAGCCAAAGGCAAATAGCTGCTAGTGGCGAAACGGCTAGGATTAGGGGGCACGTTCCTTCCACCCGAAACTCACAGAAGGAAAGCTTGTTCAGCTGAAAGCACTCAGATTTCGGACCCCTTGAAGAGGTCTTGACCCCTTGAAAGATTTAGGTTGACCTGGAAAGGGCCTTTTGGCAGTTTTTGTTCGATGGGCAATCAGAATCCAGGGAAAACTTATATATAATGCGAACCCCAGATTGATCAACACCAGTATATTGTTTAATATATATATATATATATAGGGGAGGTTCCCCTGCAAAAGTGGTCCGATTGCCCACATTTTACCTAGGTTGGGTTGATCAATCCGGGGTTTCCAGTATCCTTCTGGGGGTTCAAAGGAAACCACAGGACACTCAAGCATTTTGGATAAATACCGTAGAAACTTAAAGTCGTTTCCCCTTTGGCTCCAGAAAAACGATTCATTAAATGGATGTTTCTCAAAACATTGGGCCCCCTCCACAAAGGGCTCCGATTCCTATTTTGAGACACCCCCCATGACTTGCTGGTGCGATGGGTAGGGAACCTGGGGATGAACCAGAAGGAAGCTCCCCAATAAAGGACACCAGCAGTTGGATGGTTTATCTCGGGGTTCCAATTTTCTCAGGGACCCTACATCTCTCGAATCCACCGATCGCAAGTCAAGTCAATGCAAAAACACACACACACACACAACCAAAACGCCCCCAAAAGGAAACCTACCACCCAGGGTTGGTTTAGGGTCAAAGGTCGAAGAAAAACCGACCAAACGCATCTAACCCGCCACTCAACCCAGCCAAAGCCACAACTACATCCTCCCTAAGCCTAAACCAACACTACACCAGTTCAACAGGCGTACCAACAACCCAGAAAGTTTAGGGACAAAGGTCGAGAAAAAAAAGAAGAAGAACAAGAAAAAACCAAACGCACCAACCACCCAGGGCTTGAGGCTCAAATGGTCAAAACCCCGAAGCCCAAAACACCAACGCTCCCTTTAGGCGAGCGGCCAGCTGCTGCAGCCACACGGAGCTTTGGGAGGCGCCCAGCAGCACCAGCCAGCTGCCTCCGAGCAGAAAGACGAGGCTCGCTGGGGCCATTTCTTGGGGGACACTCCAAATATCGGTGGAGCCTAAAACTTGAAGTTTTGTAAATCTGGTTGGTGTTTTTTTTGGTTTCCCTCTAGACCCCCAACTTTAAAGGGCTCCCCCCACCCAAAGCATATTGGACCCTCCATTGAAGGGTCAAACCTCACCTCCATTGGTTTAGGTTGTGCACCCCAAGATGCTTAGGGCCTCCAAAAAGATATGTCGACATTCGGAGTCCGCGTGGCCACTGCGATATTCAACCTACGTAGCATATCACCATAGCTTCTTGCCAACTAACCCAGTTGCCCCAGTTTTCTCCGTGTCTCTAACCTACCTGTCGTAGGTTCAACCTCCCACCCAGATCCACGTGTTTCGGCTGGAATTAGGACCCCAGCAAAACCTATGCTTTTGCCTGGTTCGTGGAAAACAAAGGGAACCCCCCAAAACATCGGGGAAAAAAAGGAGAAAACCAACCCCCCAAAAAATCGAGAAAAACACACACACACACAAAAAAAAAAAAAAAACTACTTCTGGGGGAAGTGTCCCTCCGAGCCCTCCCGAGCCGATCTTCCGATCGCGACGCGGCTCCCGCCTTCGAGGCAGCTGAGGATCTGCGGGGCCTCGCGGACCCCGAGGCGGCACTTGGTCTCTTGGAGCTGGAAGTCCCAGGCCTCCACCTGCGAAAAACAAAATACCCCGCAGCACGGCGTGGGGGAAAAAAAAACGGGCTCTTCAGCTCTACCCCAACAAAAAAAGCCAAAAAAAAAACAGAAACAAAAAAACGCCCAAAAACAAACCCGCCTGGTATATTTATCTCTGATTTGTTTTTTTGTTTTTTCCAGGGTGATCGTCAAACAAGTTAGGAACAAAGGAGGTGTTTGCCTTGGACAACCCTCGCTACCACCCCGGGACCTAAACCCTGCCATGTTTTTTTTGCTCAGGGTGTTTGCCTTGGAAGCCTGGACTTGTGCTTTTTGTTAAACCTTAAAACAAAAGAGCAAGGCAAATGGTAGGGGGGTTTTGGAGAAGGGGGGGGTGTGTTAAACTCTGGTCTTGAAGCAGGGGGTCACATGGTAGAACAGCCTTACTATAATCCTTATACCAGCTGTGCAACCTACTACAGTGGCCCTGTGGTCTTGGGCGCTGCTCTGCATGAGGCAATCGGATTCGATCGATGATTCGTGAGGTGGCAGGTGGCTTGTCTGATGTTCTTAAGGCAAAGGCTGCCGTGTCTGACTTTCAAGGGAAACCCGAAAGGAAGCAACCCGTTTTGTAGGACTTGCCCTCCCCCAAAGGCTCCTACAAAAAAAAACAAGCACTGAGAGACTGGGTGTGTGTCAAACTCCAAAATGGGTAGTTTCCCTTCTATCCAAAAAGGGTAGGTACCCGCAAAAATGGCACAATACTCCTGGCCCCAAAATGACCATGGCGAACATTTCCCATGGACAATCATATCTTTTCGGTGGTCTTCCTTAATGGTCACCCCCCCCCCCCCATGTAAAGGATCTTCTCTCATCCACCCCCCAAAGGTGTGCGAATTGCAATGGGCCACCCTTTGGTGCACATCATGTTGGGCGGGGATGTATGTCTACCACACTTTTCAGGGGGGTCCATCTTAAACTTCATGTTTTTGTTACTCACTTGCTGAGTGGATGGCCCAAAAAAAGTTCAAACTTTATATTTACCACTAAAATGGTCTTCCCAAAAAGTTTAAAGTTCATGAACTCAGGAAGTGAGGTTATAAAGACTTCTAAGCCGACTGTGGGTATTTCGTGGCCTTTGGCCGTGCTGCTTGCACCAACCCCCCTGAGGCTCCGGGCCTCCTTCCGCGCCGGGCCGTCGTTGACCGTCCCTCAGAACTCCGGGAGCCGGGCGACTTCGCGACCCGAGCGTCGGAGTTTTCCCAGATCCCAGTTCTTGCTGAGCAAGCGATGTCCAGCTCCGGTCTGGTTTTCTGGAGGGGCTTTTTAACCGGTGAGTCCCAATGCAACCTTTTGGAAGGGCACGCGCCATCCGATGTCAACCAGGAACATGGATCGAAGGGTAAGTTATTATCTACTATAGTGGCAGAACGAATTCCTGAGATCCACTGGGCCAGGTACTCTGCCGTCCTTTTCGGTTTCAATGGTGTGGTCTGTTGGTTACCTGCTAAAGGAAAAATGCAGCCAGTGGGATTCTACATGCACCAGCATCAAACTAGATGGCACGATTTTAACATTGGGCAATGCGCCGTCTTCTTTCACGCAACTGGAGAATTGCCCTGTACAATCATCAGGGTCCTGACTCCGGGACCCAATGCACAACACCGGGCTTTGCAATGGAGAGCCCCTCGCCCTCAGGGTATAACTTGTTTTGAGGGTCCGAATACGAGCAATGAGCGGATTGCGTTGAAGCCACAAGTTGTCGAGGAAACCAGGAGGAGTTCGGATCCTGTGGATGGACAAACTCAGACTTCGCACTAGTTGGATGAACCCCACCTTGAATTACTGCCATGGTTGATAAACCAACGGCATTATTTTGGGCGATGACCCTATTTTTCAAGGGTCATGGAGACTCCACCTACCAACTGGTTCGAAGTGCGTTTTTTTTTTTTTTCTCCATCCACAGCATGACACGAAAATTGCGTTCCGCTCCAACTGAACCGACCGCGGCCGAAAACATGACGCGCGGAGCGCGCCTTTGGTGGCGACCACGTTGCCCCAGACGGGCACCACTGGCATCTTCCCGCAGACCGGCAGATCTGCCCGATCCTGGCACAAGTCGTGGCCCCGTCCTTTCTTCAGGGCACCTGGATCCTCACAATCCCATTTTTAGAGAGCAGTTGGCACCTTTTGCGGGGCTTGTACAGCGAAACCACCAGGAAAACCCCAAATTGCTTGGGGTCCACGGATTAAGACACACCCAAGCCAGGCGCGTTTCAGGGAAGGGGATCTAGACTGCCTGTTCCCTGTCGCTTCGTGGCACATCGTGCAGAATCGGTCCACCTTTTTGAAACATCCCCCCAGTTTAGAGGCACCTGGACCCTCAAACTACCCTTAAATGTGAATTATTGGCCCAAAGTCTGGTCGATTTGTTTTAAATTTGGAACCCCGGAACCCCAAGTCCTTTTACCGAGAAGGATAGGGAAAAAGGTGACGCGCAGGATGGACGACCAAAGAGTTTCGACCTTACCTGGCCCTTATCAACTAGGTTGTCCAGTAGAAAGGTTAGAATAAGGGCATACTATTTTTTCTGTAGTCGTCTTTAGTCGGGGAGCCCTCCCCCGAAAAAGGGGTGAGAAAGGGCACTACTGGGGGACCTGGAAGAGGTTCGACCTTACATGACCCTTCTCAAGGTGCCCTTCACGCATTGCCGGAAACCGGAAACCGGTTCGCGAGGCGAGGCGCGAAGTGTTCATTTCATGGCAGCGGCCCAAATTTCAAACCGAAAAGGACGAAGCCCCCTGAACCTCTCCAAAAACACCCTACCCTAAGCATCTTGGGCCCTCAAAACGGCCTTTTTTGAGGTCAAAAACCCTTCAATGGAGGGCCCAATGATGCTTCGGGTTGGGGACAGCAAATAAGGTTAGACCCCATGGGATCGAATTCCAATTGCAGATCTAGGGCTTTGACCGCAAAAGCAAAATACCACAAATTTAGCTGGGCTGCTTAAAGGGGAGCGGTGGCCAATCCTGATCCACAATCCCTGTTGGAAGACCACCACACATCACGGACACGCTTTAAACAGGCCACTCTAATGAACATGCTGTGAAACAACCGCGTCATGCATCAATTTGCTCAAGCTTATCCATGCCATGGACATATGCAGCCAGTGACCTTGTAAAAGGGTCGACCTGACCCGATGTAAAGCAACACAACGTGTCTTGCAGTATCATCATGTATCGCAAGGGGACTGTCCCGGTTCTGAAGCAGGCTACGTCAGGAACATGGATAGAAAACCGTTATAACCCATAGAGCAAACGCTTACAAACGTGGTAACTGGCTACACATCCATGTTTGATTACTTGAATCGCTCTTCGAGCCTTTCGAGCTGTCAGAACCTGAACCAGATCCAGCAGATTCTTCCTCGGAATCATGCTTCTGACTCTTCTCCAAACTTCTTCTTTCTGCCTCCTTGTTTCTTGTTGCCTCTGAGCGCGTTTATCACGGAGACAGCCTCGGCCAAACTCTTGACAGAAGGATCTTTTGCGAACTTCAAGGATTCTTTGTCCGAGAGCCTCGAGATCCCTCGTCAGAGCTGTTGCTTCCAGAACGGAGCACGTAGAGCCTCGAACCCGTGTCTGCCAAGCGGCTTGGCTGCAGCTTCCAAGCTGTTTCTCTCTGGACCCACGCGTTTCCACCCGCAATCTTGCTGCCCTGTCAATGGCTAGGTCCTCCAGATTTGAGAGGTTAAAATAAGGGTACCCGATTTTTTTGTCTGTAGTCTATTTTAGTGGGGAACCCTCCCAACCAAAAAAGGGGTAAAAGGGCACTACTGAAGGACCTAGATGGTCTTCTTCTCAGAGCAGCCGTTTGCCCTAGAGAGGGTTTCACAAGCCACCAAATCTTTGTCCATCAGCTCCTTGAAGAAGGTCTCAAACGGTGCTTTCAGGCAAACCATCAGGGAGAAGCATGAATTCAGGGGCTCCTGACACAAGTCAACCTGGGGGTAGTCAAAACATGGAACTCTGCTACCTCCTGGCCCCGTGAAGTGCTAACCTGCACCCAAACGGACGGGGGGATCAACTGCCCTTGGGGGATAGCCTGTCACTCCGGTTGCGAGGCTAAGGATTCATCGTGCAAAACTTGCGGACAGTCCAGCAAGGCAATGCAGCAATGTATCTTTCTACATACATGTTGTACTCATTTATTGAGCTCACCCATGGACCATCTGAGTAGCCCATTTATGTGCTATAGGCAACACACATAAGGACAAAGCTTGTGCAAATATGGATCACTCTGTGGCTATAAATGTCAAAAAACAACCCTTCAAAAGTGGTTAGCGGACTTGTAGTAAATCTCACTGCAGCCTCAAAGGGAATTCACCCCAGAATGCTGGGGCCTTGAGCCCTAGAGATGGGCAATGAAGCTGCGGTGCTATAAATGGCAATAAAGCTAT